TATTGTGTCCATGGTGACCCTCTTAAAACATGCTATTATTGTTCCAATAATCTCTCTAATGAGAAATATAACATACAAACCCAAGATCCTTAAAGATTCTTGGAACCTCTTCTTCAAACTTTGTATCAGGAAGTTCATATGAAGGGCACAGGAAGCCATATAGAAAAGTGAAGATCTTTAGGAAGTCTTTAACAGATGGAGCTTGTAGAGATTTCATGGATATACTATAAGCATAACCATTTTCTGTAAGAAACTATAATAATCTTTATGAAACATATTTTATAATAGAAAAATTATTGAAAAATACCTAAGAGAACATTCAAAATTTAGACTATTTAAAATTATAAAATACCTCACAAAGTTGTCGAATACACTGCTGAATGAATGCTTTGTCATTAAGTGGTCTTGGGTCCTTGATTTTTTCAGAACTGGAAAATATGCCAAACTGACTGTTCCGGGATCCAGTTCCACTAGTTCTGGAAACATATTTTTAAAAAAGTCAATCAAAATGATTTCCTTCTGTGGTCAAGTCTAAATTATTTCAAGGTGATGTTATATTTTAACATTAGCATCAGATAGGGCGGTTCAATTCTTAATTTGTATTTAACTAAACAAAATTCTCTTATTCAAAGCAGAGAAAAAGAGCACATAATGAAGGATAAAGTATGACATTATAGCAGTTAAATAATTTAAATATAAAATGAGGTGAGAATAAAAATGTATTTCTGGTGCTCTGTATTACCAACACATACACCATCCTCTGAGAATGTGCATTTCCAGTCCACATTCTTAGAATATGCATATCTAGTCCATAGTCTAGATCTTCTGCTCCAAGGACTCTCCAATCTGGTCAATAACCTAAGCCTTTTGCCATCCTAATTATCCCTCCATGATTACTCTCTCACCCCCAACCCCTTCATTTACCATTATTTCTTGTGGGAAAATTGTCTTCCAATTATGTTAAAAAGAGGTTCTGTATGCCTTTCTCACAAACACTTTTGTGTTGTGCAATACCTACACTATGTATCTGATTGTCATTTACTATAAATATATATGCCTTTTAGTCATTAATGGATACAGCATATATGCTTCATTCTAAGTCCCTACCCACTAAAACAAAACCTTCCTTAAACAATCTTTAGAATGTTTCATTTTTCTTACTTTGCTTGTGTCCCAGTTGAGTTAACCATCACAGCTTATTAAATATCCTCTGAACAATAATTTTCCTTACTGGACAGAGGCCATAAAGCATACAATGAACATTGCTATAATATCTGAACTCTTCATCAAAACTTCATTTCTCCCTGGAAGTTTCTTGCTGGTTCTCCCTTGCTTGTTTCTTTGAGACCTCTCACTCCACTGCTATGATTAATTAGCTAATTTTTTCCCGGGAATTTGCTAATTTGAGAACCACCTTTCTATATATAGTCTACTACTTTACTTTTAATCTTTTTTACCATAAAAAAAGAGATGTATAGAAATGTATGATAGAATTCAGCTCTTATTCTACACAAAACTTGACTTATAGATATCTTTTAAAATTATAAAACAATCAGCAAACCAAAATACTGTATTGTTCAATTTATACTTAAGAGCATAGGGTCTAAAGGACTAGAAGGCAGAAGGGGACAGGAAAGCTGGTGATAGGAAACCCAAGGTTGAGTAAGGACGGTGTTGACATGTAGTGGGGTTGTTAACCATTGTCATAGGGCAACATGTGTACTGTTTAATGAGAAACTATTTTGTTCTGTAAACCTTCATCTAAAGTGAGAATAGTAACACTACTGGAAGAATGTAATTGATGTCACTGAACTGTGCATGCAGAAATTTTTGAAATGGTGTATCTTTGGCTATGTATATTTTCAGAAAAAAAAAAAAAGGTCGAGAAGGGAGAGGGTTGCCATGTAATGGCAATGTTAACCAATGTCATAAAACAATATGTGTACTGACTGTTTAATGAGAAACTATTTGTTCTGTAAACCTTCATCCAAAGTACAATAAAAAAAAAAAAAAAGAGCATAGGGTCTAGAGCAGTATGTGGTTTTAAATTATGTCTCTCTTACTAGCTGTGTGACTTTGGGTAAGTTACTTAACCTCTCTGTTCTTCAATTTCCTTATCTATAGAAAGGAAACAATAACAGTAGGGCAGTTCTGAGGATTGATTAAAAGAGTTAATATAGATAAAGCATTTAAAACGATGCCTGGCCCATAGAAATGCTCAACAAATGATTGGTTTAATAATTATTATCAACATTATCTCTGAAGTTCAGCTCTGGGATGAAAATTACATTACAAAAATGCCTTAAAATTTTTCACCAACTGGAATAAATATGAGAAACAGAAGTCTAACTTGGTTTCATGGCAGAGATTTTTATAAGGTGACAAATATTCTACCTCTATATATTTTCAAAACAATTGAACAAACAGGTTTGTCTTAAAACAAAGTTATATTTTGTTTTGGTAAGATAACAGAATATAGTTTACTTACATAATTTTAGGGTTGAACATTTATTGAAAATCAATTTTATTGAGGTATAATTTGCTTAGAATAAAATGTACCTGTTTAAGGGGTACAGTTTATGAGCTTTGACAATGCATACACCTGTGTAATCTTTACTACAATCAAGACACAAAACATTTCCATCATCCCAAAAAGTTCCCTTGTACCTCAACTGTCAATCCTCCTCCCATGCCCTGCCCCAGGCAAGCAATGATCTACTCTAAAAGTAGTTCTCAAAACGTGACCTTGGGGTCTGACAAGTCAAAACTATTTTCATAAAACTAAGATGTTACTTGCCCTTTTCACTCTCAATCTGTCATGAGTGTCCAGTGGAGTTTTCCAGAGGCTACATGACATGATACTGCAAAACTGAATGCAGAAGCAGATATGAAAATCTAGTTGTCTTCTATTGAGCCAGACATTAAAGAGATTTGCAAAAATGTAGAATAATGTCACTTTTCTAACTGAAATTGTTTTGTCTTGAAAATAATGTTGTTTTAAAATTTAAAAACATTTTATTTATGTTAACATGTAATGAGCTTATTATTTTTAATTGAATACATAAATATTTAAAAAATTTGTTTTAATTTCTAATATGGTAAATATCGATAAATATAACCCACAAATCAAATTCTCTTAGGAGTCCTCACTAATATTTAAGTGTAAAAAAGTCTGGGACTAAAATGCTGAACTAGATGATGATCCCTCCTAATTTTAAAATGCTATAACCTAAAGGTGGGCAGCACAAATTCACCCAGTGGCACCACAACTGAAAGGTCTGGTGATTTGCTTCAGTAAAGATTACAGCGAAGAAAACTCTATAGGGCAGTTCTACTTTGTAACACCTGGAGTCACCATGAGTTGGAATTGATTTGATGGCAACAAGCTTGGAGGGGTCTGGGCATGATTTCATTGTATCTCAAAGCTAGGCATGGAATTTTAGATGAACTACTCACTTGTAACAATGAAATAGTGGTCTGAATGTGCTAAAATATCTCTTGGTACCATCAAAAGTAAATATACCCACTGCTAACCATTTAAAACAGAGGAAAATTAGATTCTAACTTTGTCTTGGAAAGGGACCACGCCATATAATTTTCTGTACTCCGAGAGGATCTAGCCAAATGCATGGCTGTAAGAATTCTCTCATTAGAACTGTTCAAGAAATATCATTACCTTTTACCAAACACAGAGACTTTTCTTTCAGATGTAGATGATGTGGGTTTGTTTATACTCAGCTTTCCAAAGGCTGATTTCTCTTTGCTTTAAGAAAAGGAGAAAAATATCTCTTTAAAATAAATATTAAAAATATTAGTTTAAGAAATTTTTGGAAATATGTGAGAACCAATACCTTCCATTACCTATAAAAATAATTCAAAATCATAAAAATTTTCCAACATACGGTAAGTTCTAATGCTAAAATGTTAAGAAAAAAGCAGAACAAATATCATACCTATATCAAGACTTCAATTATCTTTACACATTTATGGATAACAATTTTCAGGAGAAAGAAAAAAAAAACAGATAAGTTTCATCATAGCATGATAGGTACATTAAAAATATATATTTTTAACGCTGTCATATTTGTATAGGTTTAAAAGTATAATTTAAAGCCTAAGCTTTAGTAGAATGCAGCCACCCTTAAGAATATACATTATCTAAATTACAGGCAAAACACATTGACAATAGTGACCTTTTCGCTTCTAATACAATTCAAGGAATAAATCTTTTTGTGTAAGTAATGTGCAACAGTACAAAAAATTTCTATGTAAAGTGTTCAGATGGAAAAATATATACATAGTTCAAATTTCTTAAAGCAGCAGACGTTCATACCATATAAACCTAAATAATCTAAGAACAGTTAGCAAGTAACTTGTGCCTTGGTATTAGAGGATCGATAGAGCTCTGCTGTGGCTTACAAATAGCCTTCTTTTTTAAAAATTTGTTTTATTTTTTAATTCATTTTTGGTAGCAATATCTAGAAAATAAAGCATTCACTCATTTACAATGTCTACATGTACAGTTCAATGACATCATTACATACTTCACACTGTGTCCATTCGATCTCTGCCCCTATCGTTTCATCACCATTAATTTAGATACTCTGACCCTTAAAGTTCTCATCTGTATTTTAGAGTAACTGTTGTCAATTTGAACTCGTATGGATACTTCTTTATAACAGCACAATGCTCAAGGAAAACCTTTATTAATTGAACTAAACTGTTTAGTTTAACAATGGCTTCATGGGATAGTTTTGGTTCAAAGTTTAAAGATTATCTCTAGGCAATAGATTTGGGGGTTCCTTCAGTCTCAATGGATCCAATTAAGTCTGGTTTCCTTATGAATTTGAAGCTTCTTATAAAAAAAAAATACAGTTTATAATAGCATATTCCTTTGGACACTTTTTTCCAGCAAATCTTGAGGAAACAGACTGGAGAGGTGGTGTTCTGCATGCTGCTACTACACTACAGCTCATCATCTGAGCAAACACCACCTTTGATTGAGAGCTTTGCTAGCTGGCTACACCTCAATAAATTGTCAGTTACAGTAAGCAGCTCTAGAAGAAAAGAGGAAAACTTCCAGCATGCTTACAGTCTCACAAGTGGATATTGTGCTAGACAGTGCTAGACATAGCCACCCACATGTGAAGTAAGAACTAACGAGGTTAGCAATAAAAAAGAGTGCTCAGTTGTTTTTAGAGGTTGTCAGGCAAAGATGATTGAATAGGACTTGGCTTTGGGAATTTAAGAAACAAATGAGATAAACCACAACACCTGATACTGTGTCCACTTTTACCCTTAACTGATCCAAAATTAAGCACAACTGGGAACAGATAAAATTCACCAAGACACCACTCATACTACACCTTTGTATTAACCATTTTTACAGATTTCTTTGCCCAGGACACAGCATGCATGTGAGAACCACAGGTGGAGGTACTTACCTTTGAGGGGTATAGAGGCCTTGTTTATTGAGGTCCTGCAATCTTAACTCTTGCACAGAGAGGCGGCCAGCACCACCAGTGGAAACTGAACTGCGCTTCATGCTTATGACCTACATTCATGAAATCAGTATTTAAAAATCCTTCCACACATAGATGGCACATTAAGTAAGCACCAATTATTATCTTTATCTTCAAAACGAAAGGAGGCCAAGTTTCATTCTTTCTTCAAGATAATCTTTCTCCTGGGCCATCTTTACTCATTCATGTATTATGTACCGTAGTCCTCAATTGCAGGGAATATCATCTATTTAATTGCATTTTTAAATATTCAACATACGTAAACATTTACTAACTGCCAACCATCTACAAGGGAGTGTGCTAGGCAATGCAGAAGACATGATGAATAAGGTATGATTCCTGCCTTCCATGGTAGTTAGAAACCTGAACCTTAACCTAGACCACATCACTACGGCTGGCTGTGCCTATTTCAAATGGGAAGACAGAGGCTACACGACAAGCACAGCTCCCTCGACTTCTCGCATCCACCACAAAATGTTTCTTTTTCTTTGGTTTCTGGAAATAGAATTTATTCTGTTTTCTTTTCCTAATGACAATCTCTCCTGCCCTATCCTTAACTCATTATTTCTCAGTTCATATTTTTCAATCATTGCCCCTCTTGCTTCACCGCTCTCTTCAACAGGGATAAATCATCTGGTCCACAGAAACGTCTCTAGGGCACCTCCATCTTCTCAGGCCACATTAACATCTCATTCCCTTACCTGTACTGAAACGGCTGCCTCCTACGATACTCACGACTGACCATTTTTTTGGTACTGTTTCATCTCTCAATGGCATTAGGCACTATACACACACCCAGGCTTCTCGGGTCCTGCCCTGGCTTCCATGAGAGCAGACATCTGTGATTATCCTTTTACTTCTCTGGGCACTCCTTAGTCTTTTACACTGATTAGACTCTTTCTTGGTTTTGGCCGCCTATTTTTTCTCCTTCAATATACCCTGCTTCATTCATACAACTTTCCCACTCTCACCTATACGTCCACTCCCAATCTCCACTTAAGGTGCAGAGTTCCAGATGCACTCCTCCCCCAGCCAGTAGGATACTACGCTAGTATCTCAAACATCACATACCAAATCCTCCCTTCTCCTCTCCCCCGACGCTCTTCTCCCCATCAGTGGCCCCCTACGTCCTCCCTCCTCCCTGGGAATTCACTGCCAGTAGAAATTTATTGGTCTCTGAGAAACTAGCGCCCCGCACAGATTCGGCCCGAGACCTCTCACAAAGCAGACACTAAAACGTTGTTCCTCAGCGTCACTCAAGCTGTTGACGCCGTCCCTTTCGCCCCCAGGACCGTACCAGCCGGAACAAAATTAACCCAAAGATCTTTCATGAGTCCACCACCCATTAGTCACCTTACTTCCAGCTTCCTGACAAGACCAAGGGGCCGAATTTCCGAACCGTAAGACTCCCGCAGAAACGCCACTCCCTCCTTTACCCGCCCGCGCTCTTCAAATTTTAAAATCTCCGCCTGTGCAAACGTCACCACGCATGACGTGCCCACGCGTGCGCAATACTCGTGCGCCGCCGCCTCATGGCCGGAACTCTGCGTGCTGGTTGCGTTTTGCCGCCTCGCCGGGTCCACTGGCGTTTCCAGGCAGCGTAAGCGTCTCCTACGAAGTGTAGTCCGACCTCTCAATTTATGTTCTGAAGACTTGAGGGCTCTATGTCACTGAAGAGCGAGCAGAACCCTCGAAGTCGGCCTGGAAACGCTTTCCGTACAGCAATATGGCTGCGCCCGTTGACTCTTAGAAAAGGAGTTTTTTCCCTTTTGCCTTGAAAGGGACATCTTTCACGACCACTACTGAGATGCGTGCTGTTCTTACGACAGGAGTCTGGGAAGGCGGCGTGCATTTTTCTGACAAGGGAGGCGGTGAGGTAGGAGGTGGTGGCAGCTGAGTCTGCATGTAGCCGGCTCCGAGCCTCGCGCTGGTGGGGCGGCCGCCAGAATTCTGGGCTCAGGGTTAGACTGCCACCAGGATCTTACGGTCCTCTAGTGGTGGCCTACGAGAAGCCAGGAAGAATCCGAGCCGTGGGAGTGGATGTCAAGCAAAGTAGAAGTAGTCTAGAGAGAGGAGCTTTAAGCACAGTAGATTAGTTTGCTAAAATAGGAATTCACCGCTTCCCTGAGCTTGCTTCTCGGCACTGAGGGGTAGGGACGAGAGAAGAGCGCAAAGTCTGGATACTTGGGTCAAGTAGCAGTTGTGCCATTAATAAGAGTTTTAATTTTGGGCAAATCACCGTTCCTTGTCTGAGTTTCAGTCTTCCCTGCTAAATTTCTAGCTCTCATGAACCATTACAAGGCCTCGCTAGAAGTGGTAACTGAAGGGGAGCCGGGAGACCAATACCAGGATTACCATCAGCAATAGCAATTAGCATTTATTTGAGCAATTGCTACGTGTCAGGCACTGTGTATAGCATTTTATGTAGACTATCTCATTTAATTCTCTAAACTGCCCTCTGAGAGGCAATAAAAAGTGATGAAATTGAGGCTCAGTGAGATCAAATAACTTGTCCATGGTCATACTGCTGATACCCATGGAGTTAGAAGGTTCAGTTTAAATGCTGTTAGTAGTAACTGTGCTGTTAGCCACTTAAACTTATCTCTCATTCTGGCCCCCTCTTCAATTCTGCACTGCACTAGATTGAAAAAGCAATATCCAGAACTGTAGATCATCTCTTGAAAAGAGATAAGGAAGTTCTGAAAAACCTAGTTTCCTGAGGAGTACTGCTCAGAAGCAGTTACAGACCTGGACCCTAAACCTTCCAATTTTGTTAAGGTGTAGTGCTTCTGATGTGCTGTTAAAATTGCATTTTGCTCTGCCTAGACCAGTAGTTTGTGATCTTTATTATCCCATTATTCCATTGATAGCAGTGGTTTACTAGGGCAATGACACTGGAGAATGGGCTGACTAAGGGGAATGTTTGAAAAAACAAGGGCTGTTCTTCTAATACCCTCTCTTGAAATTCTGTGACCCTCTCAAGATAGGTTTATATCATTAAAAAGGCTGAATTCACATAGGTAATTTAGTGTTCTCTGCTTTAACAGGGCACTTTCACCTTTCAAGGATTCAATGATTTCCTGACTTGGACACTGTGTGCTTGGTTGCTAGATCCACAGACTTAAGCAGGAGATTGTGGTGGGCCCAGGAAGAGAGTAAGATCAAATTGGGTTTACAGAAATAAGATCAGGTTTTAACCATCTTTGGCCGAATTGACTGACAATTTTAAATGTTCACCTCTGGCATTAAAAGAAGTTTATATCAAAAAAGTTGCAATTTTTCTTAGAACTACTACATGAATGCTAAATGTGTAAAATTTATATACTTATACATCAAACGTGCTTGTGTATATGGAATATATTTTTACTGAAATACAGAATATTTAAAGACTTGATCTGGAAAGTTGGGTTTTACTTCTAGTCCCTAATTCCTAGAGGTGCTTTTTATGGAAAAGAATGTCTGTGGTGCACCAGCTGTCATCTGGGTGGTTACTGGATCATCTTTCGTTCATTAACAAGATAAATTACCATCTTTGTCAGCATCACAAGCCTTGTTGCGGTAAAAATGAGCCTACTTCTTCTGTCCACTTTGATTCTCTTCAAATGGATTCTTTGTCTTCTTTTGGACCCTCTGCTACATATATTGCTTCTGATTTGACCACTAAGCCTGAGAATGATGATAGGGGAAACAGTGACGTGCTCCTACAAAATTACGTTTTTCGATCTGAATTATTTGATGTCACCAAACCCTATATAACTTCAACTGGTCGTGAAGAATGCCAACAAAGTAATGAAAAGGAAGATCTAATGGATGGTGTTAAAAAAGAAATCTCCACTTCTATCATTGGGAAGGTAGAAAGTTTTAAAAAAATATTTATTTCTCTGTAGGAAACATGAAAGAAATTTATCATCACAATATCTCAAGTATCTTGTGATTTATTAAGTATAAAGAGAAATCAATAAAGCATAAGAAGGCTTTAGCATATCCAGAATAACTTTTAACTCTTTCAAATGTTTCACCAGTCCTATAAAACCAAATTTGCATAATTCAAAATTAAGCAAAGTTCATGGGAAGTGACTATAAGTTAAACATAGAAGTCAGACAAAAACCTCAACTTTTCTGCTTAGGTGTTTGTATTGATTGCATTACTCGAAAACATGTTTCCTTTTCTGTAGAATTCCAAGGTAGCTCTTGGATTTTGAGAGTTTTTTTTTTAAAGGCCTGTCCTTTGGGGATAGGAGCCCTGGTGGCACAGTGGTTAATGCCCTCGGCTACTAATCGAAAGATTGACAGTTGTAACCCACCAGCTGCTCTGCCGGAGGAAGATTACAGCCTTGGAAACTCTATGGGGCGGTTTTACTGTAGGGTTGCTTTTAGTTGGAATCAGCTGTATGGCAGTGGGTTTTATCCTTTGGGGATAAGCTCAAGTAATAAAGTTTAGTAGCAGAGTGATATTTCTAAAACATTTCTATTGATGGAAATAGAAAGCTATTGTGGAAAATGTATGTGTTTGTAAAGTGTTTATCTTCATATACACACACTGGCAATCTTTTAATAAAGTTTTGAGAATGCCATATAAGATCAAATTAATTGTGCTTCAGTACTTTATATGTTTGAAGAATTCAGAGATAATTATACAAAGTCCATGTCAGATAGATTATACTATTGTTTTCTTTGGTAGAGATAGGAATAACATTCATTATTCACCCAACAAACGTTTGAGTTCTTTCTGTGTACCATTGTATACAGAGTGATGAAACAAGATAAAACACAGTCCCTGCCCACATGGATCTTATGATTGAGTGGGGAAGAAAGATACTAAGTAAAGATGAAAGTGTGCTGAGAATTAGAATAGGAAAGTAATAGAAATAGTATTTTGTTATAGGTACCTGAAGTAGAAATTTTAGTATTATGATTTTTATGATTTCTTCTTGTACATTATATTTTTCCCTTTCAGCAGACATTTATTGAGCGTATGCTGTGTCAGGTACAGAAAAGAAAATGTATAGCGTTATCTGAGATCTCAGTAAAATAGTATGTAAGTAATGTATCATTGCTATTACTAATTCAGACGAATAGTAAACATTTGTAAAGGACTTTGCAGTTTACAGAGTATGTACACTATCTTTTAATGGTTAGTTTCTTACGTGGGGTAAGTTTCTCATATTTTAATACTGAAAAATAAAATGAACATACAGAATGGTGTTAATGTATCTGATTTGTACCAAACCCTCAGATCAGCCATGAAGAGTTATTACAAATACATTGCCTTTTCTTTTGATTGTAGTACGTAGGTAGTTCCTCTTCTCAGAAATGAAGAAAGTTGAGGATAATTATACAATGTATATCAACCGATAGGTGACACTCGTTACCATTCGTATAGTACCACTGCCAGTGTGACATTTTATCACGTGGTTGTGGTGGTGGTGTGTGCTGGCGAGTTGATTTCAACCCAAGGGACCCTACATGACAGAGTACAACTGCCCCATAGGGTTTTCTAGGCTGTAATCTTTACCAAAGCAGATCACCACGTCTTTTCTTCCGTGTAGCCGCTGGTGGATTCAAATTGCTGACTTTTCAGTTAGCAGCTGAATGCTTTAACCATTGCACCACCAGGGCTCTTTATCATATTGTACTTGTTCTTATTAAGCAGATAAGACTGAAATGACTTTTTATCATCTATTAATTTGGTGTTTATGTATTTCTTTACTTCTTTACTTACTTACTTTGGGGAAGTTTGTCTCCTTAGTCAATACTTTTTCCATTGATTTTGACCTCAACACGTGATTATTACTACTTAAACACTGGAATACACAATATGAAAAATGTGACAAAGAAAAATGAAATACTAATATATTTCAAAAGATCAATATTGTGATAGATGGTAACATTTTTTCCCTGTAATTTATCTACCCTGTAGAAGCGTAAAAGGTGTGTGGTTTTCAATCAAGGTGAATTGGATGCTATGGAATACCATGCAAAGGTAGGTGTAAAATGTTCATTGATTCACATTGGAAGATTTATATGATGTCGTATGAATAAAGAAGTCCCTGGGTGGTGGATAAGGAGCCCTGGTGGTGCAGTGGTTAAGCACTCAGCTGCTAACTGAAAGGTTGGTGGTTTAAACCCACCAGCTGCTCCGTGGAAGAAAGATGTGGCAGTCAGCTTCTGTAAAGTTTATTGACTCAACGGCAGTGGGTTTATCTTGGTTTGGGGTGGCGCATACAGTTAAACACTTGACTATTAGCTGAAAGGTTGGCAGTTTGAACCCACCTGAAAGTGCCTGGGAAGACAAGCCTGGCAATCTGCTTCCAAATGTTCACAGCCTTGAAAACCCTATGGAGCACACATGGTGCTGCCATGAGTCGGAATCGACAGTAACTTAACAACAATAAAAGGATGGCTTAATACTATATGATTTTAAATGTACTGAAGATAGCTGAAGATACGGAAGTTAAATCCTTGAATGCTAAAAGTCTACTATATCTGTTAATTTTGAAATATGTCTGTTGCCTGGAAATGCCATTTGTGAGATTAAAGTGCAGAAATATGCAAAAATCCAGTGTATGATATCATACAAGAAGAATATTACTTTAAGATGTTAAATGAAATTAGAAAATTGAATTTCTTGAATTTATGTATATTCAGAGTGCTAAATGAACTAAAATACATGTGACTGTTAATGATTAATATAAATTATGAAAGATTTGTGTGCCTCAGAATAGAATCAAATTTAAAAAGTCATAGGATATTAAAAAAATCTTATTTAGAGCTCTTAGTGCTTCAGTAGCAAATTTGAATAAACAGAATATATGGCTATTTATTATCAGTGAATAATTTTGTGGAAATTTGAACCTATTTGCTATAGTGTAGTGTTACAGAATGAACTATTAAAAGGGCTAGTACCAGGGCTGTTAATAGTGAGGATATCTGGTTATTTTAACATATGTTAAGGAAAAGCCTGGAGTAGAACTTGCCTTGTTTGCTTTCTTGCCTGAATTTATCAGTCTCCCTCCCTTCTTATCTGGTTCATTTATGCATTCACTCACTGACTCATTACATTTATTTACAGATACTCATTGAATGCAGACTACATTCCAGACACTGTGTCAGCCCTAGGACTTCAATGGAAGTTGAGATAGATATAGTGCTTCTGTCACAGAAGTTATGATCTTCTTGAGGGATACAGACAAATTACAATATACTGTAAAAAGCACTATCATAGGAGAATTATAGTATCTATGAGGGCACATACGGCAGGCGTCTAACCCATACTTGAGGGTAGGGGTGTCAAGGAAAGCTTTATGGAGGTGGTGATAATTGTTTAAGCTCAATTCTTCGAGTAGGCGCTAATCATGAAGAGAGTGATGGAGAGTGTTCTAGGCTTAGAAAATAATAGCATTTACTAAAGCTTAGAAGCAAGATGAAATATGGCTTGTTGGAAGAACCAGAAATCATTCAGGTTGCTGGACTGTGGAATATGAAAGAAGAGAGTGGTTAGAGATGAAACTGGGGAGGTAAGAAGTAGCAGATATGTTAGATTTTATAAGCCCATCTTAAGATGTTTAGCCTTAGTTCTAAAGGTAGTGAGAAGATATTGAGAGCAGGTGACATAATCAGATATGCTTCTTATTTATTTAATGTTAATCTTTATTTTTTGATAGATAATATATTTGTATGATAAAATTTGAAATGTATGATAAGTATGCAGTGAAGTCTTCCTTTAATCCCCATCTTGCAGCCATCTGCTTCCCCCTCCCAATATATCCATTCAGTGGTGTATGTATATAATAGGAAATATGTGCTTATATTCTCCTCCCCTTTTTTACTTGGATGGTAGCGTACTTCACACTTGCACTTTGCTTTTTTTTCCTTCACTTAAACATATAAATTGTCTTATGTCTTAATTGTTTTTCATAATTTATTTATAGTCTTTAATTACTGACATTTAGATCTATTATACACATGTAATTTTCCACAGGTATGCGTGTATCTGCAGGATAAATTTGAAGAAATGACGTCTTGGGGTCTGAGGGTTTGAGCATTTTGATACATATTACTAGATTGCTAATATAGAGGTTATAAACCAGAAATGTATAATTTTGCCAGGTTTCCCACATCCTTACCATTATTGTATGCTATCAATGCTTTTGACCTTTGCCAACCTGATAGGTAAAAAAAAACAGTATTTCAGTATGGTTTTAATTTGCATTTGTCTTATTATTTGTATAGTTAAGCATTTTAACATATGTTTCAAAGCCATTTATATTTCTTTTTATGCTAACTTTTATTTCTTTTGACATTTAAAAAATTGGGTGTTTGTTGTTTTTTGATTTATAGGAGCTGTTTATATGTTAGAGAAATTAGCTCTCTGTCTATGATACAAGTTGCAAATATATTTTCCCCAATTTGACATTTGAAATTTAACATTAATTATGATGGTTTCTTTTTCTTTTTTTGGTCTACACAGGCAATATTTTTGTTTATTTGAATTTATTAATTTTTTTGTTTTATGACTTCTGGATTTTTGAGTCATAATTGGAAAGGTATTCCTTTTCCAAGGCTATAAAAGAATTCTTCTGTGTTTTCTTCTAGAACTTTTATGGTCTTATTTCACATTTATCTTTGATTCATGTATAAAATGTGAGATAAGGATCCAAGTTTTTTTTTTTTAATTTCCCCCAGATAGCTACCCATTTGTCCCACCAAATTTTCCCCTGCTGACTTGGGATGCTAAATATACTAAATTCACTTATATATTTGAATTTATTTCAGGACTTTAAGTTTTATTTGCCTCTCTATTCATTTGGCAGTCTCTTTTGAGATTTAGTAATATGAATATTTTTAATATTTAGTAGTGTTAGTTGTACCCCTCCCCATCTTCTCCTCAGTTCCTCTCGTTTACAGAGGTATACAGTTTTTCTGGCTGTTTTTTTTTTTTTTTAATCCCAATATGAATTTTAGAATCAATTCTAATGTCTAATTAGGAAAAAAAACCCAAAAAACTACTAGAATCTTTATGTTATTAAGTTAAATTTATAAATTAAATTAGGGTAGAGTTGACATCTTTAAGATGTTGAGTCTTTCTTCCCAAAACGTGAATATGTCTTTCCAGTTGTTCACATTTTTGTTTTGTCATTCTTTAAAATTTTCTTTATAAAAGCTTTGAAGTTTACTCAAGTTGTAGTATTTTTTTTTTAATTGAGTCTCTTGTGTTTTCCAGATATACCATTTAACTCCTGTAAATAGTAATAGTTTTACTTACTCCTTTTCCAATTATTATAGTTCTACTTTATTTGTCTTGATTAATTGCACAGACAGCTGCTAACAAAAGTTCAGCAGTTTGAATCCATCAGCTGCGCCTTGGAAACCCTTTGGGGCAGTTCTGGTCTGTCCTATAGGGTGGCTATGAATTGTATAGGTTGAAAAATACAATATAAAATTAAATAATATTTCTGAGAGTAGCTATCCTTGTCTTGCTCCAGATTTAGTGGGGACGTTTTCCTCATTAAGCATAATATGGGGTTTGGGACTAAGTTGGAAATAACATGTTAAGGGAGTTTTCATCTATTCTGTTTATTAAGTGTTATTATAAAGCATGGTAACTGAATTTCATTTAATGTCTTTTAAGTATCTATGGAGATTAAAGGCCTGGTTGCATAGTGGTTAAGAGCTTAACTGCTAACCAAAAGGTCGACAGTTAGAATCCACCAGCCACTCCTTGGAAACTCTATGGGACAATTCTATTCTGTTCTGTAGGGTCGCTATGAGTCGGAATCGATTCCACGGCAATGGGTTTGGTTTGGTTTTGATATGGAGATTAAATAGATGATTTTTCTCCTGATATTTTTCTGTGATTTTTCCTCATATGTAACCATCCTTACATTTATAGAATATATTCCAAATGTTAATGATGTATTATTTTTCAAATGTGCTGCTGGACTTTATATGCTGGTATTTTATTTGGGATAGCCATTAAGTTAGATTGGTCTGATATATATGTATGTGTGTGTGTGTGTTTGTGGATGTGTGTGTGTATATATATATATATTTTTCCCCTTTTGGTCAGATTTTGTTATATATATATAATTATGTGTGTATAAATATACATGTATCAATGTTATACACACATTAGAGAGTTTTTAGCTCTCTAAAGTTGGAAGTTTTCTTCCCCCTCTCCCCATCTCCATTTTCTGGAACAATAGAAAAAGTTTTGGAGTAATCTGTTCTTTGAAGTTTGGTAGAAGTCCTCTTTGCAACCTCTGAGTGTGTTGCTTTTTGTAGGGATACCTCTGTGACAATTTTACCTTTTTCTTAGGAAATAAGCTTAAAAATTTAAAAAACTTTTTTTAGTCTTTGTAATTTATATTATCTTAGAAAATTGTCTATTTCATCCAGTTTTTCAAATTTATTTGTGCAGTCTGTTTCTGTGGTTATTTCCCTCATCATTTATATTGCATATTTACTCTCTTTTTAGATACGCTAGCTAACAGTTTATCCATTTTATTTGTTTTCTTAAAAATTTATTACTTCTGCTATTTTTTATAATTTTTAGTTTATTTTTGCTTTAATTGATATTAATTTAGTCCCCAGGGTATTGTTTTTTTCCTGACTTTTGAAGTTGTTTTAAATCATTTCTTGTTTTTTTAATTGATAAAAGTATTTAATGTTACAGATTTTTCTCTGGGTACTACTTTAGCTATCCATAAATTCTGTTATGTAGTGTTTTAATTGTCATGTAATGAAATGTCATGGAAATATAATTGTTTTGTGAATATTTGAATAATATATATATATTTTTTTTACGCTAGGTCTTTATTCCCAAATGTTTACACTCCTGGTGTTTATTAAACCAATCACAGCCATTTGAGCCCCAGCTGTGTGTGAGACTATTCTGGCTTAGCTACCTTATGGTGTGCAGTCTAGAAGGTTTTTTTCTTGAGTTTATTCCTTAAACTAATCATTTGACCAAATTAAAGGAAA